CCAGCTGTCACCTCAAATGCTTTCCTGAAACCCACTCCCGTCACCTTTCTGAGACCTGCCTTTCTCTAGCTCACTTGAGGTACCTGATTTTTGGAACCGACATCATCACCCTCTTTCTAACTTTCTCCTCTTTTTCTACTGGAATAGATCCTGACATAGCTTTCTGAAAACATAAAAAAAACACCCCAGATTTGCCAAGACTCTCCATATCTGATTATGTCTTGTTCTGTCTTGATAACATGGATGGTTAGGTGTAAAATTCAAACTTAGACATCATTTTCTCTTTCTTAAAATCACTGGGCACATCGGAATGACCAGAGCCCAGACATTTTCCTGGGATACCTCACTTGCATATTACTCAGCGGTGGCCTTGGGTTACAGGGTCTCCTCAGTGGATCCTCAAACTCTGGTCTACTAGGATTGGACAACCTGCTGGTATAAGGAGGCTAGAGAGCTTCCCCCTTTAGCACTCAGCCTTCTCCCCGCCTGGGCTCGGCGTTATGAACCAAAAAGCCCAGAGGATCTTGGTTTCACCATTTCCAAGGAGTAAGCCATGTCTTTTCTCCTGGGTGGTGGAATTGTTGTCACATGCTAGGGAGTCAAGCTCTGATTCCGACCAACCCCAAGTCCTATCCGCATTACTCCTATGGTGCTTGAACCTGTGACAGCAATGTATCAATTCATCTCGTTGAGGGGTCGCCCTCTTTTTGACCAACACTCTCCCAAGCATGACATCCTTCTCCAGAGAGCAGTCCTTCCTTACAACATGTCCAACGTAAGAGATGAGGTCTCACCACCCTCAATGCTAGAGGTGAGTTGTCTTCTGCCTACAGTCCCTCTGAGCAATGGCTGTGCTGAGCAGAAGAAGTAATCTGGGCAAACAGCTGAACCTGTCCTCTGTTTAAATTCATTTCCTGGCCAACAGAAACCCCGGTGTCTCCAATTCCTGAGCCTGCACGGGTTCTGAGGTCTGGTTGGGCTGAACTCCTCCCCACACGCCAGAGGACGGGTTCAGCTACAAGTAGCTTTCTAACACAGTTACCGCTCGTCCAAACTCTCTTCATAACCCACAAATTTCCAAGCATCCCTCTCGTCCCTGCTGACTTCCCTGAACCTGTGTGCTTCTCCTTTACTGACCTCCCTCCTCTCTGCATCTTCAGTATCATATTAGCCAAGTTTCAGGAGAGACTGTGTATCAACGAGTGTCCAAGCCACCTTGTTTTCTGCACCACCACCATACTGAACCATGCACTCCTCCCCAGCCCACCATCCTGGTTCTGGTCCCTTCAACTCTGCCCATCCCACTGCCTACTGGGTAATGCTTATCCCCTTTCCTACTTCAATACAGTGATCGTTCAAGACTCCGTTTAGGCTCATGTCTGCACAGAAACTATCCCTACTTCTATCCACTATGTGCGATAGTGTCTACACTGTACGTACCATACACTCTCAGCATCACTCCAGCCTGACGCCTATCACATGGACCACTCTGTCCAACAGCCACGGGCTTTCAAACCAGTCTCCCTCCGTTGAGAATAAGAACGCATGAAATGTGTTTCACTAGGTTGTTCAAGCTCTCGTGTGGGTAAAATTATCTGGCACAAAATAAGTGCTCATTAATATTTCTTCCCACAACCAATCTGCTGGTATGTCATACCGTGGTGGGTTGGGAGCTCTGGTTGGTTTAGGGGTAAGGAATTGTGCTGTCAACCCAGAGGCATGCAGCTCAAATCCACCAGCTGATTCGTGGGAGAAAGATGGGCAATCTCCCCCTGTGATTTACTGGTTCTGAAAGTCTGCTAGAGAGTCAGCTGTGGGTCGGTTCCAACTCGCAAGCACACAGCAACAGCATGATGCTGCAAGCTGTGGTATTTAAAACACCAGCAAGGTCACTTAGGGTGGGCAGTCTTCATTAGAGATTCCAGGTTAAGACAGATTAGGAGGAAAGGCCTGGTGATCTACTTCCAATAGTCAGTCAATGAAAAACTTCACAGACCTCAACAGAGTATTGTCTGAGAAGGTGCTAGAAGACGAGACCCCAGCTGAGAGGTCCTCAAACTACACAAAGTGGAAACAGGGGCTCAAACACATCCAGGATCCAGAAGGCGGTGAAGGACTGAATAGCTCAACACAGCACAGCTGGTTCGGTGGCCCACGGGTCACCAGTCACGGTTAGGTGGAGCCAACGGGACAGTAACACAACAACAACACATTTCTTCAGCTGACCCACTTCAGTTGGCTCCCTGCTGCAAGCGTTTCCTTGCTCAAGATTGCAAAGAACATGGTTCTGTTTACTTGCCAAGTCCAACTAAGAAGAGCTAATCAGAGAGCACCAGGGAATGAAAACAGCCAGATGTTTTCATGAGCAGAAGTCCAGAAGCACAAAACAGTTTCCAACAGGGGTGATGTATATTTTCCTGGTGATTCAAAATGAATATATGCTTATTAGGCAGAGCGCGAGGATTTCACAGATTCTGCGCTAATGCGGCAATTTTAAATCCATTTAAGATAATTTTCTTTATCTGGCATCTATTTTGCTCAGTAGCCAGGATACTTAACTGATTTGTACCAAATCCATTTGAAAAAAGAAATCATCTACTCCAAACAAGGGCACCCTCTAAATGAGGAGGAGGAGGAAGAGAGAGAGAGAGAGAAAGAGAGAGAGAGAGAGAGAGAGAGAGAGAGAGAGACCGACTGACTCTACAAATCTAACAGCAAAATTTCTCTCTGAAGCCAAGATACAGCCCAGCCGAGGAAAGGGGAGTTTTTGCTCTGGCATCTTGATTCCATGACAGACTGCTTTTCTCTGTCTCAGGAGAAGTAAATAAATAATCCTTAAATCCAAGTGCACAGAATGAAGACAGCTCACAAGCCAAGCGAGATGCTGCCAAACCTAAAAGGCAAGAACTTCAACCAAAAAAATACACAGGGAACCAATAATGAGACATATTTTCTCACCTCTTAACACAGCAGAGATTTTTTTTTTTAAATGTCAGTATACTAACAAGGACAAGAGTCTAGTAGAATTTCAACAGGACTAAGAATTGTACAAATTTCTAGGAGGCAAACATTACAGCATGTCTCTAGAGCTTCCAAAAACATCCCTATCCTATTCTCTCTTACGTGGTTGTTGCTGCTAGGTGTATGACGACTCTTAGAGTGTGGAATCAAGTATACAGGACCATACCAATATATGTGAAGATGTACACAGAAACTTTATTTCAAAAGGTTATTTATAACATTAAAACATCAGAGAAGTTTTATTTCAAAGAGTGTTTATAGTGTTTAAAAAGAGAAAACAATCTCAATATACCACTTAAGTAATGACCATTAGTATTCAAACTAGGAAACACTCATGACATAATGTTGAGGGGGTGAAGGAATGAATACAAACTTCCAAGGGGAAATGGTGTATGTATGGAAAGCTTCCAAAAAGATTTGCTACCTTGTAGTCTCCTCTATTTTTAAAAGAAGCAGGACTGGCCATCTACTTTTAAACTAAAAAAAATCCTATGAATAGCATGAAAATATACTTGAAGTGTGAATTAGGAAAATAAATATCAAAACAATGTACATGGAGCTCTTAGTACAGCATTTAACCAAATGTTATTTATAATAAAGGGAAAAAAGGAGGAGAGAGCTGATTATTTTCAACCTTGAAAATGATCACAAAATAATGTTACATGAAAAAGAATAACATAAACATAGGCAGACCTCAGAGATACTGCAGATTCCATGTCAGACCACCGCACTAAAGTGAGTCCTAGGAGGGGCTGGGAAGAATTATGTTTCATCTGCACCGTACTCTACAACGTCTTCAAAAGTGCTGTGGAAAGGCCTGAAATACTGAAAGAATGAGCGAAATGTGGCCCATGGACACGAAGTGGGACCATCCTCCTGGAAAAAATGATGCCCACAGACTTCGTCAACACAGTATTGGCATGAACCTTCAACTTAAAAAATAAAAACTGCAGCTCAACAAAATAAGGTCTGAGTATAGTTACCAGGCATGGGAATGTGGTGAGAAGGGAGTAAATATTAGTAAATAAATAACAATAACGGGGTGGAAACCCTTCATTGTCATCAAGTCAGAACCAACTCATGGCTGACTGTTGAACATGTTTTCAAAGGCTACAAATCACATGGAAGGAGAATGATTACCTTTCTCTCAAGTTGCAGCTAGTGGATTTGAACCACATGCCTTTGGGTTGGCAGTGCAACTCCCTATTCCCTAGGCTACAGTGAAAGGCAATAAGGAGAGGAGCAGCACAATATCATGAAAGAAAAAGCGCACTGGGTCCAGGAGGATGAACAGAATCAGAATTGGAGGAAGGGAGTGGGGAAAGCATGAGTACAGTGGAGGATATAGAAATGGATGTTACAGAATAAAATGTGTATTTGCTTCACAAACTTTCAAATAACAATTCTTTAAAAATTAACTTTTCCTTTATATTATATGCTCACAACTTATACAGCAAATGTAGAGTAAAAAATAATAATAATATACTAAAATTTTAACAGCTGACATCTATAAATAATGAGACCCAGGATGCTTTATATGCTTTTTATTGAAAATGTTTTGTACTGAGGTCCTTTCTAAATGTTTCTGGGATTACTTTCATAGAAACTAAATCTTTTTTATTAAGCTAATATTTCATCAGCAATAGCATTCAGTGTTTGGGCTGTGGAGGTGGCTAAGTGAAATCATAGGTTCCTGGTTGGTTATAAATCACAGAGGAAGATGTTACAAGCTCTGTGCCTACCCATCCCAGTGCCACCAAGGCAATGTCAGCTCATGGCAATCCACCATCAGGTTTCTGAGGCTGTAAATCTTTACGGGAGGCAGTAATCCATCTTTCTCCTTTGGAGCAGGGTGTGTATTTGAATTGTAAACCTTTTGATTGGCAGTGTAACAGGCTGTAACATCACCAGTGCTCCATTCACCCCCAACCACAGGACCTGACAGATGCTTCCTTCCCAATGACCGAGTCAGAACTTACTTGGTGGGACGATAATCCGGAATGGAACGATCCAGTGAAATTTTTTCACTGAGGTAGGAATTATAGCCATACTTCTCATGGGGTCCCTTAGCCTTTTCCTCTTCAGCCGGGGAAAGGGTAGCAGGAAGACCCCCTTTCCCACGTCCACCGTAACCCTCAATGAGCCCAAGGGATTTGGATAAGCCTGGAAGGGAAAAGGAGAGAGAGGAGAAAAAGAAATGGGTGAAAATCAGACACCGAGATAAGGCACTTGAATCTCAGGTACAGAGCTTCGTTGAAATGTTTAACACTGTCTCGGAAAAAACAAGAAGACATAGTCCATTTTCTGATCTCAGGAGAGATCTCTCTCTGCTTTGGGAACTAGGTGGGATAGGGGCCTAGAGACAAGGAAAAACTGAATGCCAGCTGCCCTGGAGTCCATTCCCGGCCATAGCACGCCCGGTGCATCATGGAGAGCTGTATGCCACTGGGTTTTCAATGGCTTCTATCTGCATGAAGTAACCCCCAGGTCCTTCACTCAAGGTCCCTCCGGGTGAACGTGAACCAACACCTTTTTAAACAGCAGCTGGGGGCTCACATGGCTGTGCCACCCAGGGACACGACCTAAGCAAGATCAAAACCCAAACCAAGTCCACTGTCACCAAATCGAATTCCACTCATGGCAGTCTGCGGGGCACAGCCAAAGTGCCTGGTAGGGTTTCTGAGGCGGGAAACCTTTACCGAAGCTGGGAGCCTCATCTTCATCCCTCAGGACATCGACTACCTTCTAACCACCTTTTGCTTAGCAGCCAAATGCTTTAACTACTGTACCACCAGGGCTTGTCTAAATGCAAGATCACTGGGAGAAATATGAACACAAGAAATCGAACCCATTGGGGCTCTTGGTCAAATGTGTTCTCAAATAGGGAGCTCTAGTGGCTTTAGGGGTAAGGAGTAGCACTGTCAGCCCAAAGGCACATGGTTTGAATCCACAGAAGAAAGTTGGGCAATCTTCTCCAGTGCGATTTAAAGCCTTTAAAAGTCTACCAGATGATCAGTTGTGAGTTGGTTCCTACTTGACGGTACGATAACAACATGAGGCAAATAGCTCTGGTGATGCAGTAGTTAAGCCCTTGGCTGCAAGCTGCAAGGTTAGTGGTTTGAACCTTCCAGTCACTGCCCACGAGGACACTATGGAAGTCTGCTTCTCTACGGATCTGCAGCCTTGAAAGACTTATGGGGGTAGTTAGTTCTGCTCTGTCCTACAGTGTCGCTGAGCCAGAGCGATTCCACCGCACTGGGTCTGGGCTTTGGAGCGGGACAGTGACAAGGTCCTATACACCCTGAGGACCGGGTCCAACAAAGAATGAGAACACAGATAACAGGGAACCGCCAAGCTGAAGGCACTTCTGCTTCCTCTGAACAGAGAACTAGATTTATTTTTCCCGAGTTTAAAGCATGTAGCCATCTGAAGCAGCTCTCTGCCTAATGGTTTTATTGAAATTGCTTCTAAATGGCAGAAGGCAATACAAAATGTTAGAGAACAAATCACAAAGACCTGGAAGGTGACAACCGTGCCAGGTCGCAGGGACGCCTCTGACAAGCCTCAGCGAGCAACTGCAGGCTCCAGGACGGCGGCAGCTTTATATCCATTGTTCCATCGACGATAAACAGCTTGACGGACAACTCTTCAATCCCAGGCTCACGGGAGGTTTATTACTGAGCTAGGAAACTTTTGGTGTTAAGGACTCTCACTCCCTTATGCCACATATCATGTGTTCAAAGTTCTGTTTACACACACACATTCTTACACACACACACACACACACACACAATTTCTCACACATACATTCATATCATACACTGTATTTTCACTCTCTCCCATACTGTTCACTCAGACTCATACACACACATACCCTTTCTCTCGCGTGCACACTCGCTCTATCTCTCTCTCTCTCTCTCTCACACACACACACACACACATCTATATATATACCTATATCAATATATCTATATCTGGTGACTATCTGGTATGGAGCTGCACTGCCAACCCAAAAGCACATGGTTCAGGGTCACCAGTTTCTCTGCACGATAAAGATAGGCAATTCCCTCTCACGCAACTTACAGCCTCCGGAAGCCCATTAAAGGGTTAGCTATGGGGTGCTGAAACTTGACGGCACATAAAAATCACACTGATAGGTAGATGGACAGATTAAGGGAGCTCTAGTGGCCTAGTGGGCAAGGAGCTCAGCTTCCAACCCAAAGGCAGGTAGTTTGAATCCACTAGTGGCTCGATGGGAGGAAAAATGGGCGATCTCCTCTCACTGACTCTACAGTTTCCGAAAATCCACTGGAGGATCTGCGATGAGTTAATTCCAACTCAGCAGCAATGAAGGTTTTTTAAGTTCATACAGAAATGTGTGAGAGTGTGTGTGAGAGACAGAGAGAGAGGAGAGAGCAGAGAGAGAGGAGAGAGCAGAGAGAGAAAGGAGAGAGGAGAAAGAAGGGGGGAGAGAGAGGAGAGAGCAGAGAGAGAAAGGAGAGAGGAGAAAGAGAGAGGAGAGAGGAGAAAGAAGGGGGGGAGAGAGAGAGAGGAGAGAGCAGAGAGAGAGAGGAGAGAGCAGAGAGAGAGAGGAGAGAGGAGAAAGAGAGAGGAGAAAGAAGGGGGAGAGAGAGAGAGGAGAGAGCAGAGAGAGAGGAGAGAGCAGAGAGAGAGAGGAGAGAGGAGAAAGAAGGGGGAGAGAGAGAGAGAGGAGAGAGCAGAGAGAGAGAGGAGAGAGCAGAGAGAGGAGAGAGGAGAAAGAGAGAGGAGAGAGGAGAAAGAAGGGGAAGAGAGAGAGAGGAGAGAGCAGAGAGAGAGAGGAGAGAGGAGAAAGAGAGAGGAGAGAGGAGAAAGAAGGGGGAGAGAGAGAGAGAGGAGAGAGCAGAGAGAGGAGAGAGGAGAAAGAGAGAGGAGAG